GGCTGAAAATTTTGAAAACATAAAATCCGAGCTACAGGCAGTAAAAACAGAGCTAGCAAACAACACCACAGCGATTCGCTCCGAGGTGGAGACGATGAAAACAATAGTGTCGCACATGGAGCAGGGGCTCTCATCATGTTCAGACGACGTGACTTCGTTGGTAATGAAAGTGGGGAAACTTGAGACAGAAGACAGCAATCTGCGGGAGAAATGTCTTGATATGGAAGGAAAAATGAGGCGCTCCAACATCCGAATATTAACGTCACAGAGACCCCAGGCTCAAACAACACCAACAGCTGTCTCCAAACTATTAAGAGAGGTACTGAAAATGGACAAAGACGTCCTGATCGACCGGTCTCACAGGGGTCTACAGCCGAGGAGACAGAACGGTAAACCTCGTGTCATCTAGCGAAAGTCCACTATTACCACGATTGTGTTGACATCCTTCGCCGCGCCAGGGAGTCCGGGCCGCTCAGGTTCAAAGGGACCGACATCTCCATTTTCCCGGACTATCCCCTGAGTGTCGTGCAGGCCAGATCCGCTTTCACTACTACGACTACTTCGTGGACGAGACGGTGTTAAATACGGCCTTCTCTACCCAGCACGGCTCCGGACCACATATAACGGAACTGAGAAACGGTTTCAAAACCCAGGAGAAGCCATGGCCTACGTGAAAACACAGATTTTTCAAACAGATCAGCTAATTGCGATGTAACCTTTGTAAGCTGGAATGTAAAATCCTTGAACCACCCCATCAAACAAAAGAAAGTATTGACTCATTTGAGTAAATTAAAGACAGGAATTGCCTTTCTTCAGGAGACACATCTCCGAACCTTTGACCATTTTCGACTCAGGGGAGGATGGATTGGACAATCATATCATTCTAATTTCCATTCCAAATCTAGAGGTGTGGCCATCCTTGTTAATAAGAATATCCCATTTGTTATGTCAAAGGTTGAAACAGACTCCTCATAATTGTAGTGAGCAGGCTGTACAACACACCGGTTGTCCTGGCCAACATATACGCACCACATTGGGATGATAGTTCTTTATTTTTATAAATTTCTTTGGTCATATCCACAACATGGATACACATTATCTTATCCTTGGAGGAGATATGAACTACACATTATCACCTACTCTGGACCGTAGCTCGTCTAGGACTGCGTCCAAATCCAGTGCGGCCTCTCAACTGCAGCTTTTTCTTAATACGAATGGTATAGCTGATGCGTGGCGCTTTCAAAATCCTACAGATAGAAGTTACTCCTTCTTTTCTCTGGTCCACGGAACATACTCCCGCATAGACTATTTCTTTTTGGATAAAAGCCTTCTTTCACTAATAATAAAGTGTGAATATCAAGCTATAATTATTTCAGATTACGCCCCTCTGTTGATGACTTTATGTATACCAATTTCTCATGCCAACTATCACCCCTGGC